TATAACTGCTCCCTGTAGCAATACGACAATAAAAGAAATTGAGAAAATATGCATCGTCAAAAAGAAAAGAATTAACACTTTTTTAAGATAATGATCACTTTAGAGAATCACCTAAAATTAACTGAAACAATAACTTTGTAAAATAAACCTGCACAAGTTGTTTAAATTTCCTGTATATTACCAACAAAAATCAACAGGAAGAAATAAGAAAGAAATTCTATTAACTACAGAATGTATAAAATATTAGAGAGTCTAGCTACCAAGGCACATGTAGAAACTATATTAATACAACTACAGTTACACTCTTTATACCAATACAGACATGAATAATTAGAAAAGGATCAGTTGTTCATGGCTAGGCCATGCCAATGTAATAAAAATAGCAGTAGTGCCTAAGTTAACGTGTAGCTAATGCCATATAAATTAAACCACCAAAAGATTACATTATTATAGAGCTAGGAAAAAAAATAATTTATCTGATAGAGAAAAGGTAAGTAATCTCAAGAAAAATTGAGGGGGGAAAGTAGAGAAAAAATAGTTTAGCAATACCAAATCTTAATACCCAAAGACCCTTGTTGCTGGGGCAGTGACTCAGTGCTCAACAAAAATTATTGGGAAAACTAGAAAGCAGTTTTGGCAGAAATTAGGTTTAGACCAACATGTCACCATATACCAATACACAGATTCCAAATGAATATTTGATTTGTGTATGTTGAAGGCCACATCATAAACAAATTAGGGGAGCAAGGAACTAAGGGTAGGTCAAGAAGTTCATGTCTAGGGGCAGGCTTATAGAAGATAAAATGGACACATAGCAGGCACTTAATGAGTTGTTGAATTTTTTTTGCTGGGGTAGAGGGGAATTTATGTTAGTAATAGAGCATTAGCCTCTTGACAAATGACAGCTCTGTAGAAATTTTTTGTTTTTTTCACTTTGAAAAAAATATGTTGATAATTATTCTGTGCTGGGCTCTCTCTTTTCCTTCTATAGTTGATCTCATCTGCTGTCATGGTTTCATTTATCTTCTCTTTGTGGGTGACTTTCAGATCTACTTGTTTAGCCCTAACCTCTCTCCCAACCAGTAGTCTCCAGCTGCCTGTAAGTCTTCTTGAATTTGATGTCCCATCGACATATTAAACTCAGCATGTCTCAAACTGAACTCATTATCTCCTCAAATCATCCCTTCTTCATAACTTCCCTTTTACTGCCGATCTTCCCACTTACTCAGGCTTGCAGCCTACGTGCTGTCCTTGATAAGCCTTCCCCATTGTACCCCCATAACTAGTCAGCAGTCCAGTGCACCTTGGTAACGTTTCTTCTCATTCGGACACTGCCATCAGCTTGATGCAGTTACTTAACATGATCATTTCAGGCTGGGACTGTTGCAAGGAGCCTTTGTTGGTCTCCAATCTGTCATTCAGTTCAAATTGATCTAAAATGCAGATGTGACCATGTCGCTCTCCTATGCTAATGGTTCCCTGTTTACCCCAGGATCAAATATAAAATCCTCTGGCTTGCAAAGCAGTCCTCCCTCTCCCCCTCCACACCAGGTCTTCTTACACTTTACTCCCCTTCACATACTATCATCTGTTGATACTGACCTCCTTGCTGGTGGCTAAACACCTGACTCTCAGGGTCCTTTGACTGGTGTACATGCCTAGAATGTTCTCTTTCGTCATCCCTGCCTCCTGGCTTCCTCAGCTAAAGTCCCACCTTCTGCAAGAAGCCTTTAAGAGTACTCCGGTTTATCCTGTTGGATATCTTATTTGTACCTAGTTTGTATGTTGTTTTCCTTCATAAGATGCTTGAGAGTGGGGACTGTTTTTTTGCCTTTCTTTGTATCCCTAGCACAGTTGTCTGGCACATAGTAGATGCTTAATGAATGCTAGTTTACTGACTGACAAAGAAATGTTTATAATTTAGATATTTTTAGTTTACATCATTTACATTTCCTAATATATTCCCTTTCCCCTTGCCCCCAAGACCTTTCTTATAACGAAGAATAGAAGAGTGGAAAACAAAGTTCCACAAAGTAGTCTGAAATAGTCACAGTTGCTCCCCTCTTCAAAGAAAGAAGGAAGCTGCCTTCTCATAGCTCTTTGGGGGCCAAGCTTGGTCATTAATTTCATAGTACATAGTTGTTGTTTTAAGAAATTTTTATTGATGTTTTCTGTTTCTTACCTCACCACAGTATATGTAAGCCTTCCCACCCTGAGCCATCCCATATGACAAATAATAAAGGGTTTTTTTGTTTTTTGTTTTTTTGTTTTTTTTTAGAGAAGAAAAAAGTCATTATAACGGATTGCTCCATTGAGAAAGTTCAAGAACATGTGCAGTGTGAAACATCTGTGGCCCTCCTACCTTTGCCAAGGTGTAGGTTGGAGGTGACCTCTCACATCTCTTCATTTGAGTCCTGCTTGATCTTTATAATTTTGTTAAATTTACTTTTTTTTTTTGGCTGTCATTTTTTTTTTCCATTTACATTTGTTATAGTCACTGTATATATTTTCTTAGCTCTGCTTACTTCATTCATAGATCTTTCCATGCTTCTGTTTTCATCACATGCATCATTTCTTATATTTCTTCTACTCCATTGCATTCATGTACTGCATATTCTTTCTGTGCACATTGTTACCCTGGTGTATGCTTTTCCTGATTCTGTTTACTTCACTATTTCAGTTTCCTTCCACATGAATGAAGCATTTATTAAGCACTTATTATGTACAGAGCACTCTGTGCTAAGTGCTGGGGATACAAATAGAAAAGTTGAGACAGTAGAGCTCACATCCTGTCACAGATGGAAGGTTTCAGCTACAAGTCATTTGGAAAAGTCCCTGCTCCTTAGGGGGCAGCAGCAAAACAGATGGTCACACCTCTTCTAATTTGTTAGTACCAAGGATTTGGGGGCAAGAACTTTCTTTTCCTGGTCCTCAGTAGTTGGTGATCATGTATGTCTTCACCATGTTCGTTAATTGTTACAACAGAATATATTATTACATTCATATGCCACAATTTGTTTAGCACTTACTCAGTGCATGAACATCTACAGCAAAGTAAAGTTTCAGGGTATCTTTGGGGGTATCCTTAGGGTATTATGTCTAACAGGGGCATCTCATGAGGTGAAACTTCACAAATTGTTTTGATTTTAATTTATCTTATTATTTGGAGCAGTCTTTCTTTGGGTTGTTAAGAGTTTGCAGTTCTGAGTGGTATACTGTGCTTTATGATAAGGCAGTTGGATACCTAGGGGAAAATGTCTTTAAACTATAGTGGAATTTCTGAGCTATGATGAGCAACCTATTGGACATGAGAAGGAAAATCATCACAGAATATTGTCCTGTGCCATCTCTATATATTCTGGCTTCTGCTTGACAGCTTGTTTATAGTATGGAAAAATTGCATTTCCCAACATAGAGACAATGCTAAAAACTATCAAACTCATTTCTTTCCATTTCAGGAATATTACTTTCAAAAGGGAGAACAATGAACCCACAATTAAAATGGATCAGTGTTTTCCAGAGGGACTGGATTCCTCTAATTGTTATTGTATACTGTCTGCTGGTACTATCAGTTTTCTTGACTATTTGAGGTGTATTCCAGTGAAAGTTCATTTTCACTTAGGATTGTGTAAATATTAATTTGTAGTATTTAAATGATACATAGGTTGGTACCCTTCTTTTAACCTAGGCTGTTGGCTTTTTTCCATTTTGCTGGAGATTGCTTCATGACAAGATTACCATCTTTTTCTTAAATCACTTTTGCTCTTCATTTGACTACGTTTCACATCTATAACCTCTACTCAATTCTGGGACAGGTGGTAATAACAAAAGTCCGAGCTCCATGCCAAAAATCTGCTTCCATTATAAAATGAATGATATTAGATTGTGAGATGTACAAGTTTAGGCTCAAAACTGAATAACTTCTTTTCTATCCGTGCTTTTAGTGAAATACTGACTGTGTTCTCTTAAATGATTTCTTTTCATTGTTAAGAAGAAACTAATTAACATTACGTTTTGTTTTTACTATCATCCCTTAGAATTGAGTTTTCCCTTTTAAGGCCTGGTTAAAGTCTTGTATATTTCACATGTAATCTTCTTTTGATTACTTTTTAGTCTTAAACAAAGGTTAATTTAAAAGGCCAAGTGGTTTTCTTTCTGCAGAAATCAGAATGCATCTTTTAAAATTTTATTCAAAGACACAAAGCTCATTTGCCATAAATACTACCATTCGAGTTAACTTTCTCTATGGGTTCCTTAGAAAACTGCTAGTGTCATCCATAGTGTCGTCTTGCTATATGTTATCACCACTTGTTCTGTGAGTCTCAAATATTTTTGTTGGGGGAGGGGATTTAATCTCTATGCCCCTAAATAGTAGGGTTCTGTCTTGTGTGATAGTAATCGCTTATGAACAGCTTCAAAGAAAGAATAAATTGTTATAGTAACAGCCTCAGCTTTCCTCAGCTCGTTTATTTTTGTTTCAGTATATTTATAAAAACATAACAACTATTCTGTACTTGTATTTGTTGAAAACTTTGGCTGTTTGTTTTTATGTAATTATTTGGTATGTTTTCCTTCAGTGATTGGAATGATTTTGTACCATTAAAAGATTGATTGAAAGTTTAAAAAAAAAACTTTGCAGTTTTTTTGATAATTATTCATATCCATTGACAACCTGGTTTAATTGGCTGTAGAACATATGGATAGGAGTTAAAACTACCACGCTCCTTTTCCTGTTTCATAGGTAAATATTAAGGTCAGAAAGCTATCATTGTTCAAATGGTCCAAGATATGATTAGTTATTTAAGAATAAGACTAGGACTAAACTGAGTGATGAACTTTCAAGCTGTCAGCAGAATCTTTCCAGTCTTTTTATATGTCACCTGTTACCTGCAAGTCATAGGATGTTGAGAAGGTGATATAATGGTACCTTAAAAATCGTTATCTGCCATGTTCCACTTATCTTCAAGGGCAGAGATTTGAAATAATGCTGTCTTAAACAGGAGCAGACTTTGTCTGGGCCAGATGGTGGCCAGAGAAGTACCTCCCTCCTAAGACAAGTCCCAATTGGAGAGCACAACAACTTTGGCATTAAAAGATGAGAAGAAAGGCCTAGTCAGCTGCACCAGGGGAAGTTGCTCGGAGGAGCCATGACTGTTAACTGTGTGAGGATAGAAGACCTCGAAGGATCAGGTTTGACTAAATGAAGGAAAAAGATCAGAGATTTCTGGAGACTCGAGTAGCAGAGTGGTAGAGCTGCTGGGCAGTGGTTGCAGTGCTGCCTGTTAAACGGCAGGGAGCCTTCAAGGAATGAGGTACACCCCCTGGTGCTGCACATTGTGCATGTTTTCAGGCTATTTCTGTGTCTTGATCCATGCTGATTTCCCCCCTTTTCTTTTTTTGTCTTTAAAAATACTATTTGTTACATAGAATGATTCTGGGAACAAGAGGGAGAGGACACTTGGGGAAATTATGAGGTAGAAAACAAAAGACAGTGTTTGCTTATTTAAAAAAAAATGTAGAGGTTTGCCTATAGCTGGCAAGTTGTGATTAATAACAATGGCTAACAGTTATAGCACAAATGTTATCTCATTTGATCCTGGCAGCAACCCTACGAGGTAGATGCTGTTATTATCTCCATTTTACAGTTGAGGAAACCGAGGCAAACAGAAGCTAAGTGACATGCCCAGGGTCACACAGCTAAGTCTGAGGTCAGATTTAAACTCAGGGTTTCCTGACGTAGTCCTTGCACTCATCCATTGTGCCACCTCACTGCAAGCAGCTTGATCCAAAGAAAGAAGTGTGTTGCTTAGTTATTTAGGAAAATGAGTCAATTTTTAGTGGGAATTGGGGCAGTCTGAAAAAGTGTCAATCCAGAGAAGCCTCCCAAGAAATAATTTTTTAGCTTTCTTGTCAAGGGATTATGGTTTTGTTTTTCCCTTTTAAAGACTTACTTTTTTAATATTTATAGCAGCTCTTTTTGTGGTGGCCAAAGAACTGGAAATTGAGGGGATGCCCATCAAATGGGGAATGGCTGAACAAGCTTTGGTATATGAATGTAATGGAATACTATTGTGCTAATAAGAAATGATGAACAGCTGACTTCAGAAAAACCTGGAAAGATTTACATGAACTTATGTTGAGTGAAGTGAGCAGAATCAGAACATTGTACATAGTAACAGCCACATTGTACAATGACTAACTTTGGTAGACTTAGCCCTTCTCAGCAATGCAAGGATCTAAGACATCTCCAAAAGACTCATGATGGAAAATGCTATCCATGTCCAAAGAAAGAACTATGGAGTTTGAATGCATTTCAAAGCATTTTTTTTCTTCTGTTTTGTTTCCTCTTTCTTGTTCCTCTGATTGGTTCTAATTCTTCCTTATAACATGACTAATATGAAAATATGTTTAATAGGAATGTCTATGTATAGCCTGTATCAGATTGTGTGCTGCTGTCTTGATGAGAGAGGGAGAGAAAAATGTAAAACTCAAAAGCTTATGGAAGTGATTGCTGATAAATCAAAATAAATTAATAAAAATATTTTCAATTAAAAAAGATTTACTTTTTTAGCCTTTTTTTCTGATAAAGGAACAATTATGTACGAGTATCTTTTGTTCAAGTTGTAGACGAGGAAAGGCTGCCTTTATTTCTCTTGTCTTACTGGATAGTCCTTTAGCAAGTGATATTCTATTTAAATCTTTGAATTCCCTAGGATATTTTTTTGTAAAGCAGACTGTAGGTCTGCCAGACGGTTGATACATGTGTGCCCTTAGTGGACACTGAGGAGCTCAGCTTTAGTATTTGCTGTGTTTTGTTGTTGTAGTTGTTCCTGTGTCTGACTCTTCTATGAGCTCATTTGGGGTTTTCCTGGCAAAGATACTGAAGTGGTTTGCCATTTTCTTCTCCAGTTTATTTTACAGATGAGGAAACTAAGGCAAATAGGGTTTAGCCAAAGGTCACACAGCTAGTAAGTGTCTGAGGCCAGATTTTAACCCTGGAAGATGAGCCTTACCCTCACTCCAGGCCTGGTGCTCTAGCCACTGCCACTGAGGGCAAGTCACTTAATCTTTCTGACCTTGTCTCCCTAACACTAAAATATGGTTAGGTAGTGCTTTGTAAACCATGAGGCACTATTTAAGAGGCAATTTGATAAAGTGGTTAGAGCCTTAGAATTGGGAAAACTTAGGTTCAGACTCTGTCTTGGACACATACTGGTGGTATGACCATGGGAAAGTCACTTAACATCTAACATGTATGCGGGGAGTTCCCCTACTATAAAATATCCATAGGCCTGCAAAAAAAGCTATGTAAATATGAGGTGTCCTATTTAGGAAAGACATTTTAAATATATTCTGTTTTTATGTAGTCAGCTTCTTTTCAGGAGACTAGGAATATTCTCCAGAATACCTGGCTGGGTAGGAAACTCTCCTTCATTTAAAAAGAAAAAAATGTACCTTGATCTTACCTAAACTTGAGCACTTTCTACGTAGAAACATCATTTAATAATAGTAGCATTTATGTGGCATGTTAAGGTTTGCAAAGTGATTTACAGATATTCTTATTTTCTCCTCACAATAACACTGGGAGGTAGGTGCTATTCCCATTTTACTGATAAGGAAGCTGAGGCAGGCTTTTAAGTTCCTAGTTAAGTGACTTGCCTAGGGTTACACAGCTTCTACTGGCCTGGACTCCAGATCCAACTCTCCACCCACAGTGCCACCTCACTGCTCTGTTTTCTAATTTATCTAAACATTGGTCTCTTAGAGCCCAGCAGGATAGTTTGATAGAGAATGTGGAGTTTGCCTAGGTAGAATTTTTTTCAAATATTGTCTAAAGTCTCATAGAAATCCCAGTCTTACTTGTCATCACAGCATCCTTTGTCAGACAGAGTTAGCCTGTTGTTCAGCGAGAAGCACAGAATACAAGCTGTATTAATCACCAGGGATGGTAAATTCCCCTGATGCTCTCAGCCTTGTTTGGTGAGCGACTCCTGATGCTAATAGTCAAAATAAATGCAGGTTGGACTTGGTATAACATCATTTTGTCTGCTGCCATTACCGCTTGTGACTACACTAGAATAGGAGGTACTGATTGATTTCAACCTTGCTGATAGGGTTGTTAGATTTCTTTTAGTCTTAATTTAGACTGATTTGTTTAGTGGCTGTAAGTCTCAGATGTCTGAAAAGTTCGGTGTCAGAGCAGATATCAGCATATCTAATTTTTTTTACCTAGGCATTAAGTTTCAGCTGATTTTTTTTCCCCCAGATCTGGGGCTTGAAATTCCGGGCCATTTGACCTGAATATAAGGAACTTGATGGGGGAAATCATCTTTTTAGTTCTTGATACATTTGAGGTAGATTGAAAGGTGGTGATCTTCACTTGGAGACTTGTATGTAGGATGAATGTTGCTTTCAAAGATCATTTGAGGGGCAGCTAGGTGGCACAGTGGATAGAGCACCGGCCCTGGATTCAGGAAGACCTGAGTTCAAATCTGGCTTCAGACACATAACACTTACTAGCTGTGTGACCCTGGGCGAGTCACTTAACCCCATTGCCTAGCCAAAAAAAAAAAAATCATTTGACAAAAGTTCTAGATCCTGTGTTCTGTCTTCTACTGTATTGCACTTGGTCTTTACAAAGAGAGCTCAGTGAATATTGCTTTTACACTTAACTGTGGGTAAGAACTCCAAAAGAGTGTCTCCAATACCGCCATCTATCAAGCTTAGTTACTCTGAGATATTGGATTGGAAAAAGCATTTCTTTCTGTGTGACTTAATTCATGCCTTGTGGGTGTACCATAACAGATTGCTGGTACCACTCATTTTACCCTGATCTTAAGCTCACAATTCAGATATCTGCAGTGAACAGATTTCAGTATGAAGCTCTTACCTAATGAAGGACAGGGTACCATCTCCAGGCATCCTTGTCTTTATCTGTGTCTTGTCACTGGATTCAGATGGCTCTGGGGGAGAAAGTAAGGCTGGTGACTTTGCACAGCCCTCCCTCACTTAAATCCAATTCACTTGCAAGTCATGGCATCACCTTTCCGATGTTATGGGCCTCTTCAAGAACAAAGGACAAACAACAACAACATTGAAGGACAGTAATTCAGAGGGTTGGCTTGGGCATCAGAAGGACCCTGTTCAAGCCCCACCTCACTTATATGCTCTAGCTTTCTTTAAGTCCCACCTTCTACAAGAAATCTTCTCCAGTCTTCCTTAGTGTCTGACCTCGAGAATACCTCCCCATTTGTCCTGCGTATATGCTATTTGTACATGGTTGTTTGCTTACATGTTGTCTCTCCCATTAGACTGTGAGCTCCTTGAGAGCAGGAACTGACTGCTTTTTGCAGGAATTGGTTTTTGCCCAACGCTTAACACAGTACCTCACACATAGTAGGCACTTAATAAATGCTTATTGACTAACTTTTTAACCCCAGGCAAGTCACTTGGACAACTGATTCTATTAACACTAAATTATTGGCAAATCTGCATCAGTTCAGGTAGTTGCCCTTACTGAAAGCATAGATTCTGAACGAAAAAGGGTGCTACTTTTGCTTTGGATCAAATGTAATTATCCTGGAGTCTTCTTGACATTAATAATGTTACTTAAGTTTATACTTCCATCAAACTTATATTATTCTTATCTTTTCTTATCTTTTCTTTTTTAGCTTGAAAGATGACCTCTAGGAAGAAAGTGTTGCTGAAAGTTATCATTCTAGGAGATTCTGGGTAAGCATTTTTAAGACTGACTGGTTCTTTACCAAATGGACCTAAGTTGTCATAGCTTTTATCTTCAGCTGACCTCATTAGTGTATCTCTGATAGGCTACCCTCCATGGGATTTCTTATACTCTACCCTGGAAGTTGCTTGTTCTAATAATGGAATGACTGATTTCCCCTTAGTATAACCTGGGGAAAGAAAGAGATTTTTTTAGCAAGTAGTTGTGTGTCTCATTCTGCACCTGTAGACCATCACTTTTCTGCTAGCAAGTGAGTGGCATACTTCATCAGGTTGGGTTTTTTTTTTTAATTCATTTTCAGGCACAATCAAGGTGTAAAATGGTTTTGTTTAATTAAACTTATTTGTTACAAGGGAGAACGTGGGGGAGGAGGAGGGAGATAAAGATAGGAGAAAAAAGAGCAACCAAACACAAAAGTACTCAGAAAACATAAGATGTATATCCAAAGTGTTCATAACAGAAGTTCATGGATTCATATACAGTCACCTTTTTTTGCTTGTGTATACTGTGGTGTTCAAGTACATAGTAAAAAAAAGAAAGAAATCAAAGTATTTGAATGATAGTGCACCGTAAGCACTGTGTGTCTGCTTCCTAGTGTTGTGGAAGTTGAGGCTCAGAGGTGATGACTTGTCCCTGGTCATCTAATGGGAGCACCAACACTAAATTCTTCTGGCTTCAAATCTGGTGTTCTTTCCGCTGTCATCCCAATGTAGATGACGTTCCCTTTGCTAATCTGATACGAGAAATGATATAAAACCCAGGAGTGTCAGGGTTGACTGCTTATTTTTATTAGAACATTGCGCACATGTAGTATTGACCTACCAATGAACCAGATTTAGTGATTGAAAACACTTTCCACAGTGAATTCCATGAAAGGACTACTTTCATGTTCTCTCATGTTATTCATGCAGGTTTTCTCTGTTAAATCAATTATTATCTCTGGGCCTCAGGTTCCTCATCTGTGGAATGAGAAGATCATTCTAGTGCTATGATTCAGTTGGAAGCCCAGGACTGTGGGACACTAAAGCCCAAGTTGCCAGGAAACTAAGTATTTTAAATAATACTCTTTTCTGTAGGGTAGGTGTGTTCTTTATATAGGGTGGCTACATACAAATGGTTTTTGATCCAAATTTAGGGGTGAAACTTGCTGATTCAGCACTTGCCTTCGTCCTTCACCAGCGTCTGAGCAAACAGGCCATGTCCAAGATAAGTCAGTGGCTCCGATGAGTTTCAGAGTAGTGAGGTACAGCAGGAGATGAGAAGACCTGGGTTTGGCTCTTTTTGAAGTTGAGTACAACCAAGCCTCTCCAGATCGAGTTCAGTTTTCTTAGCTTTGAATGAGGGGGCTTCACTAGATGATATAAAGCCTTCTTTCCAATTCAAAATCATCCTCTGATCGTAAATCAAAAGTTAATGCTTTTGGCTTTTTTCTGGTTAGCTTAACTCTTTATAAACAAATAGCAGTTGTTTGAGAAAGAGTATTCTTTGGTTCCCTAAGATTCTTTACTAGGCACTCTTCTTTCTCTCAGTCACCTCATCCAGGTCCTGTGAGCTTAAATATGTTTGCAAATGATTCTGAACTATATATCTTGCTCCACTTCTTCCCTGAGCTTCTGTCCTACTTCACCAAACTGCCTGTTGGACATTTCAAACCCAATCTGTATTAAATAGGAATCATCTTATTCCCTAACACTTCCCACCCGCCCAAAAAGCCCAGCCCTTCCCCTTATCCTTCCAGTCTTCCAGGCTAGTAATCTCTGCATCTTCCTCCACTCCTCACTCTCCTTCACCCTACATATTCATTCAGTTGTTACAGCCATCCTCTTCTCACAAGTCACCTACTTACTGCATTAGACCAAACCCTCATCACCTCTTGCCTCGATCATCGTAGTAGTCTCCCAATTATCTCCATGCCTCAAGTCTGTGCCTTCATCTTCCACATAGCTGCCAAAGAGCTTTTTCTCAAGCACAGATTTGACATTTCTTACTCAGTCACCAGCAGCTTCTTATTGCCCTCAAGATTGAATACGACCTGCTGGTTGGCTTTTAAAGCATTTTACAACCTGGTTCCCAAGCTATTTTTCTATCTCATTGTAGCTCCTCTTCACCTGTGCTACAGCACAGCCAAAAGGTCCCTTTCCTCACACGTGGCACTCTTGTCATCTATTGGCTGCCCTTATCCACTCCCTCCCATCCTTTCCACCTTCCCTACCTTGCATTTATTTTGTTGTGTGTGTGTGTGTGTGTGTGTGTGTGTGTGTGTGTGTGTGTGTGT